GCCCCCACGGCTGAAAGGCAAGCATGTTTCGTGTGATGGGAATTCGAACCCGCAGATTGCGAGCCAAGTGCCCTAACCACCGGGCCTTGTCTGTTTACAAGTACAAATATGTGTGTTTAGTTACTCTCTCAACACATGAATCTATATAACTTCTATTCTCTATTCAGGAGTATAAATGTGCATGTTTAGCTAGTCACTCAACACTCTAAATAACCTTCCCTTTTCTCTGTCTGCTTCCTGCATACTCCATTACTGTTTCACACATCATGTTGTTGTGAATACAGTTTTTAATGGCTTTGCTTTTGTTACAATATTGAATAATTGCATTGTTTAAGAGCTAAATTAACCTATGAAGGTACGGTTTAGGTTACTCGACAAACCAGTTAGGTTTGAATTAATGAAGAATTATTTGCATATCAATTTTGTTTTTTAAGTTTACAGTTACCATAACATGCTTTTATAAACTTTTTATATTTTGGGTTGTATTTTGAAAATATTTCCTAAATTATAAAAGGAAAAAAAAGAAAAAATTTAGAAAATGTTTCTAGAAACAATTTAAAATATATAATAGGATCATATTTAACAAAAGCTAATTGTTTTCATAAGAACTAAGAAAGTGGCACTGATTACAGTTCAGGTATTTCACTCAATATGTATCAAAATTGTAATTATTACAAAAGATTCAACATTTGTAAACAGGATATATTTCTACTTCTTGAGGTACAAAGAAAAAATTAACACTGGGTAGCCTTCTTACTGTGGCCGTAGTGTTCCAATGTTTAGACTTTTTCCTTATTCACGATAGCCGCAGCTACTTTAACACGGTATAAAAGTTTTCAGTAAGTACTCACCTCCATACTTAGAGCCATCACTCTGAAGAGCATTTAGTGAAAGGTTAGTCTTTATGTAACCCGGACTAACAACACATACATGAATGTCTGTACCTTCGAGTTCTGATCTCAGGACATCAAAAAATGCTTGGGTGGCATGTTTTGAAGCTGCATCTTAAGAATAAAAATGTTCACTGTATTATTATGTAAAACTATAATTAGTTATTTGTTATCAATAAATTTGCTCTGCATAAGAATGTAACCAGATTCTTGATGGATCCAGAAGAGTTTTCCTCATAATTATAACTATTTCATTATTTATTGTTAAGCACAAAGCTCTGCATACAGTGGGCATTGAAACCTAATTTTTAGCATTATAAGCCCTCAAACTTATGGCTGAGCCACCTGAAGGCTATTTTTTTAATATACAAGTAATCTGTAAGTTAGACACTGAAATCTAAGTCAACTTGTAGAGGCATGTGTTTATTCCTCTTCCTTTATAAATACTTTTGATTTAATGTGGTATCTTTTGTTAGTAAGCTCATTTTGTTTCCGATTACATAAGGGTCGTAAAAGCGATACATTTTTGATGATCGTATCATTACCTTTTATGTTTTGTACCAAATAACTTACAAAACACATGCAAGACTTTCAATCATTTTTTTATGTAATATTTCTCGACAAAACAGTTACCTACTGGAGATACTTCAGCAGTACGATACAATTTTACATTAAGAATACTTCCAAAACAATATATATACAAAAACTTTCATATGCTTTGCCACCAGGGTATACTAGGAAACAAGAAGATGAATATTTTGAAATTAGTCCCATAAAATATTTATCTCTACTTGGTATTTTTTATGCCATCATTTTCCTATACAGAAATCATCTTTTTGCTGATTTTAGCAAATATCTAACTGATATAATTCAAATTTTTTCACAAGATATTGGATTAAAAAAATAAAAGAAAGTTTTCTCAAGTACAACAGTTCAACTATAGACAAATGTTCACATTAAGTACAATTTATTACAATAAAAATGCTTACCAAATTCACTATTAGTATTCTGTAATACTGTAAATATAATCATGACAACAGCTTCTTACTTACAGGCAGAACGAAATGGAATAGCTATTTTCCCCTGGATACTACTGACAGAAACGATGTACCCTTCTCCTGCTTTTATCATCGAGGGTAATATTGCTAGGGATGAAAACTATGATTAGCAACTATTCACATTATGTTACATGTCACAAACAAGAAAACTTCTTCTTGTCGTATTTAAAGATACTTACAGCAAAAGTATTGGTATTAAAATATTACTTCCATACAAAGTTAACCATGGTGGTACTGTTTCCACACAAAAAAATGAAGTTGGAGCAATGCTACTTCATATCCACAGGTATCCATGTTATATATACCACCATACAAGATCTCCACGGCACTAATACATTCACCCTTAGGTATCCATCATACTCACATTTATATGGGCATTACATCTACAGCACTGGTACCTGTATACAGATACTCAGAGTACCAATACTTCCATAAATAGGTACCTATGGCAACAATACCACCATACAAGATCTCTAAGGCACTAATACATTCACCCTTAGGTATCCATCGTACTCACATTTATATGGGCATTGCATCTACAGCACTGGTACCTGTATACAGATACTCAGAGTACCAATACTTCCATAAATAGGTACCTATGGCAACAATACCACCATACAAGATCTCTAAGGCACTAATACATTCACCCTTAGGTATCCATCGTACTCACATTTATATGGACAAGTACCCACAGCACTTGCAGATAAAGATATTTACAGTATTAATACTTCTATAAACAGGCAGTTAAACAAATATTTTCATAAACAGGCAGCTAGAGCACTAATATTTCCATATACAGGCAGCTAGAGCACTAATATTTCCATATACAGGCAGCTATAGCATTAATACTTCCAACACAGGTATTTAAACATTATCATTACTTCCACAAACAGGCAGCTTTAACACTAATACTTCCAACACAGGTATTTAAACATTATCATTACTTCCATATACAGGCAGCTATAGCACTAATACTTCCATAAACAGGTATTTAAACACTATCATTACTTCCATAAACAGGCAGCTATAGCATTAATACTTCCAACACAGGTATTTAAACATTATCATTACTTCCATAAACAGGCAGCTAGAGCACTAATACTTCCATAAACAGGTATTTAAACACTATCATTACTTCCATGAACAGTTATTTAAACATTATCATTACTTCCATGAACAGGCAGCTAGAGCACTAATACTTCCATAAACAGGTATTTAAACACTATCATTACTTCCATAAACAGGTATTTAAACACTATCATACTTCCATAACAGGTATTTAAACACTATCATTACTTCCATAAACAGGTATTTAAACACTATCATTACTTCCATAAACAGGTATTTAAACACTATCATTACTTCCATAAACAGGTATTTAAACACTATCACTACTTCCATATACAGGAATTTAAACACTATCACTACTTCCATATAC